GTCAAGAAAACCAAAAGACAACCGACAGAATGGGAGAAGATATTTGCAAACGACATATCAGATAAACAGCTAGTATCCAAGATCTATAAAGAACTTATCAAACTCAACACCCAAAGAACAAATAATCCCATCAAGAAACGGGCAGAAGACATGAACAGACATTTCTCCAAAGAAGATATCCAAATGTCCAACAGACATGAAAAAGTGCTCAACATCACTCGGCATCAGGGAAATACAAATCAAGACCACAATGAGAGACAACCTCACACCAGTCAGAATAGCTAAAATTAACAAGTCAGGAAATGACAGCTGTTGGCGAGGATGTGGAGAAAGGGGAACGCTCCTATACTGTTGGTGTGAATGCAAGCTGGTGCAGCCACTCTGGAAAACAGTATGGAGGTTCCTCAAAAATTTGAAAAAAGAGCTACCCTACGACCCAGCAATTGCACTACTGTGTATTTACCCCAAAGATATAAATGTAGTGATCTGAAGGAGCACCTGCCCCCCAATGTTTAGAGCAGCAATGTCCACGATAGCCAAACAATGGAGCCCAGATGTCCATTGACAGATGAATGGATAAAGAAGATGTGGTATATATATACACAACGGAATATTACACAGCCATTAAAAAAATGAAATCTTGCCATTTGCAATGATGTGGATGGAACTAGAGGGTATTATTCTAAGCGAAATAAGTCAATCAGAGAAAAACAATTATCATATGATCTCACTGATGTGCAGAATTTAAGAAACAAGGCAGAGAATCATAGGGGAAGAGACAAAATGAAACAAGATGAAACCAGAGTGGGAGACAAACCATAAGAGACTCTTAATCTTAGGAAACAAACTGAGGGTTGCTGGAGGGTAAGGGAGTGGGGGGAATGGGGTAGCTGGGTGATGGACACTGGGAAGGTATGTGTTGTGGTGACTGCGCCATGTGTTGACTGATGAATCGCAGACCTGTACCTCTGAAACAAAAAATACATTATAAGTTAATTTAAAAAAATTTTTTAAAGATCATAGAGGAGAACACAGTCAGTAACCTCTTTAACATTAACTATAGCAACTTCTTTCTAGATATGAGGCAAGAGAAACAAAAGCAAAAATAAACTACTGGGACTTCATCAAAATAAAAAGCTTCTGCACAGAGAAGGAAACAATCAACAAAATGAAAGGCAACCTATGAAATAAGAGAATATATTTGCAAATGACATATCTGATGAAGGGTTGGTATCCAAAATATATAAGGAACTTATAAAACTCATGCCTGAAATACAAATAATCCAGTTAAAATTAGGCAGAAGACGTGAATAGACATTTTTTTCCAAAGAAGACATCCAGATGACCAACAGGCACATGAAAAGATGTTCGACATCACTCGTCATCAAGGAATTACAAATCAAAACTACAATGAGATATCACCTCACACCTGGCAGAATGGCTAAAATTAACAATATAGGAAACAACAGGTTTTGGTAAGGATGTGGAGAAAGGGGAACCCTCTTACACTGTTTGTGTGAATATAAACTGGTGAAGCCACCCTGGTAAACAGTATGGAGGTTCTCAGAAAGTTAAAAATAGAACTATCCTACAACCCAGCAATTGCACTACTAGGTAGTTACACAAAGAATACCAAAATACTGATCTGAAGGGATACATGTACCCCAACGTTTATAGCAACACTATCAACAATAGCCAAATTATGGAAGGAGACCAAATGTCCATCAACTGATGAATGGATAAAGATGTGGTATATATACACAATGGAATATTACTCAGCCATTAAAAAGAATGAAATCATGCCATTTGCAATGACATGGAAAGAGTTAAAGAGTATTATGTTAAGCGAAATAAGTCAGTTCAGAGAAAGACAAATACCATATTTCACTCATATGTGGAATTTAAGAAACAAAACAAATGGTCATAAGGGGAAAAAAGAGGCAAGCAAAGAAACGGACTCTTAACTATAGAGAAGAAACCGATGATTACCAGAGGGAATTTGGGTGGGAGGATGTGGTAAATAGGTGATAGGGATTAAGGAGGGCACTTGATTTAATGAGCACCAAGTGTTGTATGTAAGTGTTGAATCACTAAATTCTACACATGAAACTAATATTACACTGTATGCTAACTAACTGGAATTTAAATAATAATTTGGAGGAGAAAAGAAGTGGTATATTTTATATGCAATGGAATATGAAAAAAGAATGAGGTGTTGTCATTTGTAACAACATGGATGGACCTGGATGGTATAAAGCTAAGTGAAATAGAAAAACATGTACCATATCATTTTATTTATATTTGGAATTTAAGAAACAAAGCACACAAAGAAAAAAGGACAAACAAAAAATAGACTCTTAAATACAGTGAAGAAACTGGTGGTTCTCAGAAAAAAGATGGGTGGGGGGATGGGGAAATAGATAAAGGGACTAAGTACATTTATCATTATGAGTACTGAGGAAGGTATTGAATTTTTGAATCATATTGTATACCTGAAATTAATATAACACTGCATCTTAATTACACTTCAATAAAAACAATTAAGTGAGTTTACTTAAGCTTTAAATCCAATACAGGAGAGAGATTTAAAAAAAAAAAAACTAGCCATCCTCACATATTGATGGTTATAGTATAAATTGGCATAATATCTTTATAGAGTGATTTGGTAATTCCTATCAAATTTTAAATTATGTCTATTTTCTGACCCAACAATTCCATTTCTAGCAGAGTATTCAAACATATACATGAAAAAGAATGTAGAAGTATATTAAATGCAGCATTATATGGAATTGGGAAGAAGCAAGGAGGAGGAGGAGGAAGTAGGGGAAGAAAGGAAAAAAGAAAAAAAAAAAGCAGGAGTTACCTTATCGCTAACTAGAGGGGACTGGTTATTGAAGAAAAGTACATTCATAACAGCTCTGTACTTTCTAGTACAGAGCTATTAAAAAGAATAAGGTTGATCTATGTGCTGATATGAAAAGTTGTCCAAAGATTAGTTATTGCTGGTAAAACAACAACAACAACGACTAGATTGAGAGAAGTGTTTTCTCTTTCCTATTGTTTGAGCATGACAATTTTAATATTTAAATGAGAATAAACTCGTTGTCAATTGTAAAAGGGTTCCAAAAAAAGATGCTGTAAGATTACTTGCTAAAAGTGTAGCAAGGGGCGCCTGGCTGTCTCAGTCATTAAGCGTCTGCCTTCGGCTCAGGTCATGATCCCAGGGCCCCGGGACCAAGCCCCACATTGGGCTCCATGTTCAGTGGGAAGCCTGCTTCTCCCTCTCCCACTCCCGCTGCTTATTTTCCTTCTCTCACTTTGTCTCTGTCAAATAAATAAACAAAATCTTTTAAAAAAAGATGTGTAGCAAGCATTTATGTATCAGATTAAAGTCTGACTATTGGTCTTTTGGATCCCTTTTAATTCTAAAATTGTATTATTTTAATATCATGTAAACAAAGGAGTGTTCACCATGATTTAAGGCAAAGGGGGGACCAAAGATAATATGGAATGAACGTAAGTCAGTGGTTTAGTTTCTGAAACAAAACCTTGACAGTAGTTTAAAAAGCAGTGAAGATGAAAGGTGGATCAAGTGTGATTTTAAAAGTGTGACTGATACAAAAATAAAATTGAATAAGTCATTCACTCCAAAGGAGTACCAGTGAGAAGGAAAAGAAAAAAAATATTGCAGTTTGGATATAGAAAAACCTGCATGTTTGGAGGAAGAGAAAACACCAAGAAGAGAGCCATTAGTTATTAAGACAATAGGGTGTGTGTGGGGTGCGGGGGGGACAGAATGGGAAGAAATCAGAGAGGGAGACAAACCATATGAGATTCTTGACTCCCGGAAACAAACTGAGGTTTGCAGAAAGGGAGGTGGGCGGGAAGGATGGGGTAACTGGGTGATGGCCATTAAGGAGGGCATGTGATATGATGAGCACTGGGTGTTATACTGAAATAATGAATCATTGAACATTATACCAAAAACCAATGATGTACTATGCCTTGGCTAATTGAATTTATTTTTTTTTAAAGGTTTTATTTATTTAGTTGCCAGAGAGCACACAAGAAGTGGGAACGGCCAGCAGAGGGAGAAGCAGGCTCCCCGCTGAGCAGGGAGCCAGATGCGGGACTCGATCCCAGGACTCTGGGATCATGACCTGAGCCGAAGGCAGACTCTTAACCAACTGAGCCACCCAGGCATCCCGAATTTAAATTTCAAAAAGACATAAATGAACGTTATTTAACATAGATCAATATTTATGTATATATTTGAAATTCTGCTCAAAAAGAATTCAAAACTGAGTTTTCACCAATTCAGGCATACTACTCTTTTAGTGAAAATTTTATGTGAGTTATTATATATTGTCCCTAGTACAGAGGCTCATCTTAAAATGAAACTTGGTTCAATCTCCCATTGAGCAAAGAAATAAACAAGCAGTCACCCAACCATTTCCTAAAATAATTTCATTTAAAAGTTATTATCAGCACATAAAGTTCCACAAATACATGCATCAAAATAATGCTATTCTTCTCACCTAATGGGAAATTCTGGAGTTTTAAATTTTTTTTTTTTTTTTTTTTTTTTGACAGAGAGAGATACAGCAAGAGAGGAAACACAAGCAGGGTGAGTGGGAGAGGAAGAAGAAGGCTTCCTGCGGAGCAGGGAGCCTGATGCGGAACTGATCCCAGGACCCTGGGATCATGACCTGAGCCGAAGGCAGACACTTAACGACTGAGCCATCCAGGCACCCTGGAGTTTTAATTTGTTATTCTTTGGTGTTAAATAGGAATACTCTTTTGCACTACTAAAAGGTCTGCAAAGTCAAGAAACAGGCAACTGTTATTTAAACCATTATTAGTATTTAACTCCAATCAATATAAAAGTTAATTAATGTGCAAACGTAACAAACATAAGCCTTTACCGAGTCAATATTTTAAAATTACCCAATCTCATTAAAGTACAAAATGGAAAGTTCTATTTGAAAGATATACTCAACTATATCTTCATCATGGGGTATTTGTGTGGGCATACACATTGGTTTTTCTGCCATGCCAGGTTAAAAGAGCTGAAAATGAAGAAATAAAAATCTTTTAAAAATTACTTTAGAAGGCTATATTCCTATAATATAATTTAGATCAATGAGGGAGTCTAATAGGACATTATCCCAGATTTTGGCTTCCAGTCCACACAACTGACCTGTTTTAAATTGTGATTGTTTTGCTAGAGAGGTTCCTATATAATAAATAATATGTAATATTTAACTTATAATGTACAGAGATACATTTAAGCATAAACGTGCAAAATCATCCAAAGAAAGGTAAACTCTTAAAATCAAGACAACAGAGAGCAAAGTACTATGTGGGTGTGAAATAGGTTAATTTTGCTTTTAAAAAGTACTTAAAAGAACCAGGAAAGCACATAATTACTTAACTTTCTAGAGTAGCTTACCAGGGAAGACTAGGGTGTTACAGTGTACTTATTCAAGGAGGATTGGGAAAGAGCTTATAAAATCTAAACAAGTCCCTCAGACATTGAACTAAATTAATAATAATTGTCATTTATGATGCTCTTATTATGCACCTAGGATTGTGCTGAGTGCTTATGTGCTTCAGCTCCTTTAATCCTCATAGTAGATAGATATATACATATTTTTTTTGCCATATGCCAAGTGAGAAAATTCAGATTCAGAAAAATTCAAGTAACTTACTTGCCCAAGACTTCAATTATGCAGCAGACACAGGTCTGAACTGATCCAAAGCTGGTGTTCTTTCTACTGTCCCCAGTTATGAACCAAATATTCACTATGTTTGCAACACTGTGGAACAAGGGAGGCGAGGTACAAAAGAGCATGTTGTGCTGATTTCTAAGCAGAACTGCCTGAGAAGGACATGCTACCCTACTTTTGAGTACAGCACAAAGATATGAGAATATGAGGCATGATTTAAAAGGAAATATTATATACAAATACAGCAAAAAGAATAGCAAACAGAATCAAAGAATGGCTCTGTACCATGGTTTCTTCACTTGATACATCCTGAGGATTATTCCTCTTTTTTGTATATACTGACCTCATTTTTTCCTTTCTAGCAAATAGTGTCCTCTAATACAGATAGTGTTCTGTTTTATGGTATGGTTTACTCTAGTCTAGTATATATGAAGGTTCTATACTATTCAGCAGAACTTAGTGATGGGTATTTCCAGCCTTTAATTGCAATTAACAATAAACATCTAAACCACTAAAAAAGAATTGCTTCTTAAGTTTTTCTACCTATCCTCTCAGAATTTGAAATGTTACTATAAATTCGAGTTTCAAGTTTTAGTTATGCAGATGAAAAAGTTCTGGAGATCTATACACCATGGTGACTATAGTTAATAATACCGTATTGCATACTTGAAATTTGCTAAAAGAGTAGATCTTCAGTGTTCTCCCCCATCCCCCCACACACAATGGTAACTATGTGAGGTAGTGGTAGCTTTATTAGGATAATTATTTCACAATGTATATGTATATCAAAATATTACATTGTGCACCTTAAATACATATAGTTTTGTCAGTCACATCTTAAGAAAGCTGTAAAAAAGAGAAAAATATTTTCAGAAAACAAGTATCTCTAACTGCTGACTTTTGACAAGCCTGTAGAAGATGGCTTGAAAACTGGAGATACAAGTTATCTTGTATTTTAAAACCTAATTAACTGTGTCTTAAACAAATTGGAGTTTACTTATGTCACATAAGTCGTGAGCAAAAATTCTCCAAGTATGTTACCTAGGACTCTGGAGATCATTGACACTCTTTCAGAGAATCCATAAGGTTAAAATTTTTTTTCTAATATGAAGGTGTTTGTTTTTTCCAGTGTGTTGACATTTGCACTGATGATTCAAAAGCAATGGTAGGTAAAACTGCTGCTACTTTAATAAAGGCAGTGGCACCAAATTGTATTATTAGTCATTGTGTTAGTCACTTCACACATTCATGCAAAAAGAAAAAGAAGGTGAGTACCTTTAAATATTTATACTATGCAAGTGTGATGGATGTCTTAGGTAAAACAAGTTATGTTTCTGAGAAATAACTCCTTTTGTCAAGGAACACCAATTTCCATTGAAAAAACAACTGACAACATTAGTTTTCAGACTTTGTTATTTCTAGGACAGTTTCTTGAAAATGAATAAAATGTGCTTTGTAACATGAAGGAAAATAACTGGGAATATATGTTGCAAATGGTAAAATTTGAGTCTTAAAGTTTTTAGAGAACTCATATCCAACATCATGATCCTGACAGATTCCTGATGCTTACAAACTTTCCCTAAAAGATTAGTGGTAATAGTAACACATGTAAAATTTTGATATTGTATAATGAAGTATGTCAGCATCAAATAGACTAGGTTTCCCAACTATTGACATTTGAGGCTGTATAATTATTTGTTATGAAGGGGCTGTAAGATGTTTAGCAGCATCTCTTATTGTTCAACATAGTACTAGAAGTCCTAGCAACAGCAATCAGATAACAAAAAGAAATAAAAGGTATTCAAATTGGCAAAGAAGAAGTCAAACTCGCTCTCTTCAAAGATGACATGATACTTCATGTGGAAAATCCAAAAGACTCCACTCCCAAATTACTAGAACTCATACAGCAATTCAGTAATGTGGCAGGATACAAAATCAAAGCACACAAATCTGTTGCTTTCGTATACACTAACAATGCAACCATAGAAAGCAAAATTAGAGAACTGATTCCATTTACAATAGCACCAAAAACCATAAGACACCTCAGAATAAACCTAACCAAAGAGGTGAAGGATCTATATGCTAGGAACTACAGAACACTCATTAAAGAAATTGAAGAAGACACAAAAAGATGGAAAAACATTCCATGCTCATGGATCAGAAGAATAAACATTGTTAAAATGTCTATGCTACCCAGAGCAATCTATATGTTCAACGCCATCCCAATCAAAATTCCAGTGACATTTTTCAAAGTGCTGGAACAAACAATCCTAAAATTTGTATGGAATCAGAAAAGACCTTGAATCACCAAGGAAAAGTTCAAAAAGAAAAAGAAAGCTGGTGGCATCACGTTGCCTGATTTCAAGCTATATTACAAAGCAGCGACCACCAAGACAGCATGATACTGGCACAAAAACAGACATATAGACCAATGGAACAGAATAAAGAGCCCAGATATGAACCCTAAACTCTATGGTCAAATAATCTTTGACAAAGCAGGAAAAAATATGCAATGGAAAAAGACCGTCTTCAATAAATGGTGCTGGGATAATTGGACAGCTATACAGAAGAATGAAACTCGAACATTCTTACACCATACACAAAGAAAAACTCAAAATGGATGAAAGACCTCAATGTGAGACAGGAATCCATCAAAATCCTATAGGAGAACATAGGGAGTAACGTCTTTGACATTTGCCACAGCAACTTGTTTCAAGACATGTCCCCAAAGACTAGTGAAACAAAAGCAAAAGGGAACTTTTGGGACTTCATCAAGATAAAAATCTTCTGCACAGCAAAGGAAACAGTCAACAAAACAAGAAGGCAAACCACAGAATGGGAGAAGATATTTGCAAATGACACTACAGATAAAGGGCTGGTATCCAAGATCAACACCCAACACCCAAAAAACAGATAATCAAGTCAAAAAATGGGCAGAAGACATGAACAGACACTTCTCCGAAGAAGACATACAAATGGCTCACAGACACATGAAAAAATATTCATCATCATTAGCCGTCAGGGAAATTCAAATTAAAACCACATTGACATACCACCTTACACCAGTTAGAATGGCAAAAATGGACAAGGCAAGAAACAACAAATGTTGGAGACGTTATGGACAAAGGGGAATCCTCTTACACTGTTGGTGGGAATGCAAGTTGGCACAGCCACTGTGGAAAACAGCATGGAGGTTCTTCAAAAAATTAAAAATAGACCTACCCTATGACCCAGCAATTGCACTACTGGTATTTACCCAAAAGACACAGATGTAGTCAAAAGAAGGGCCATGTGCACCCCAATGTTCATAGCAGCAATGTCCGCAATAGCCAAACTGTGGAAAGAGCCAAGATGCCCTTCAACAGATGAATGGATAAAGATGTGGTCCATATATACAATGGAATATTACTCAGCCATCAGAAAGGATGAATACCCAACTTTTACATCAACATGGAGGAGACTGGAGGAGATTATGCTAAGTGAAATAAGTCAAGCAGAGAAAGTCAATTATCATATGGTTTCACTTATTTGTGGAACATAAGGAATAGCATGGAGGACATTAGGAGAAGGAAGGGAAAAATGAAGGGGGGAAAATCAGAGGGAAAGACGAACCATGAGACTATGGACTTTGAGGAACAAACTGAGGGTTTTAGAGGGGAGGGGGATGGGAGGATAGGTTAGTCCAGTGATGGTTATTAAGGAGGGCATGTACTGCATGGAGCACTGAGTGTTAAGGAAAACAATGAATTGTGGATCACTACATCAAACACTAATGATGTATTGTATGGTGACTCACATAACAATAAAATTAAATTAAATTTAAAAAAAAAAGATGTTTAGTGGAATCTCTGGCCTCTACTTAGTAGATGACAGTAGCAAGACTTGAGTGTGACAACCAAACATATTTCCAGATATTGCCAAATATTTCCTAAAGGGTAAAATCACCCTCAGCCAAGAAACACTGGGTTGAATAACGTGAACAGATATTTTCCAAATGACCAGTGCATTATATTATAAAATTATATGTGAGTTCAAGATCTATTTGGAGAGTGAGATAGAAAAATAGATTTTAATGTAATAAAACAAAAAGTTCTTTAATGTGGTTTCAGATTCTACATTGCAACTTATCTTGTCACATTTTAGTGGCATATCAAAGAAAAACATTAACAATTATGTGAGAAAACTACTTAGGGATTCCTTTTCTCCAACTACATATCTATATGAAACCAGATTTTCTTCAGAAACGTCAACCAAGATAACATATTTCAAATGATTGAATGTAGAAGCAGATATGGTAATTGAGTTATCTTTTAATTTTTTGTTTTTTTATATTAAGTTAGAATATAGTCACATTATTATGTAAAATTTACCATATTAAATTCAGTGGTATTAAATAAATTCACATTGTTGTATACTCATCACCACCTTTCATCTCCAGAACACTTCCTAGTCTCAAACTGACTGTACTCATTTAACAGCAACTGGCCATCCCCTTCACCCCACTCCAGCCCCTGGCAATCTTTGAACTTACTGTGAAAATCAGAATTTGGATACTCTAGGTATCCCATATAAGTGGAATCATATAATATTTGTCCTTTTGTGAATGAATTATTTCAGTTAGCATAATATCTTCAAGGTTCATCCATGTTGTAGCATGTGTCAGAAGTTTCTTCCTTTTTTAAGTTGTTTATTTAAATTCAATTTAGTTGAGGCAGAAAGCTCAGCAAGATGGCAGAGGAGTAGGAGACCTAAATTTCGTCTGGTCCTCTGAATTCAGCTAGATAGGGATCAAACCATTCTGACCACCTACGAACTCAACAGGAGATCAAAGAAAAGAATAGCAACACTGAACAGAAAAGCGACCACTTTCTGGAAGGTAGGACGTGCGGAGAAGTGAATCCGAGGCGATATTCGGGAGGATAGACGGCGGGGGAGGGAGCCTCCGTCGGCCGCTTCTACCAAGTGATAGAGCTGCGGAGCACAAAATCGGAACTTTTAGAAGTCGGCTCCGCTGAGGGACGTCGCTCCAGTGGCTAAGCGGGGGGTG